AATTTGAAGAGGAAGGAGAGGAGGATGAGGCTTAAGTCCCATGGTATTGAAGGACTTCTTTAAAGCAGGCATGTGTATGGAATGACTTCTGGTAGTGGTGGTGAAGCATGTTCTCTTGAAACTGTGTACCCAGTTATCCTCTCAGCACCTGTAACTTTGACAGATTTCTCAGTGTAACAGTTTTGAATCCCAGTTACTACAATGTTTTTGTCCTTTAATGTGAAAAGCACATAAAAGCATGTATTCTAGATCATGTTTTCTGTCTTTCTTCACCTATATTGGACACAACACAGCTATTCAGCCTGCATGGCAAGGAGTAAGTTTAAAGATATGCCAGAATCTTGCTGCAGAGTGGTGTGCTCTGATCCACTGAGGCTTACATAATCTCAAAATGTATGCTCCCCATGCAAATATTTTTCCCATTTTTTCTTACAGGTCTTAAACCCACCTGTAACTTGAATGAAAATGGAAAGCCAACTAAAATGTCTAAACAAGGCAAGGACAAACACCTCTAACTTGTTTTACAGTGTAGGAAATCTTCCACTGCCTTGTTGAAGTCCTCTGCAAAACGCAGGTGTAGATTATGCTTTCCTTCTGGCATGAGAAGCAACCTTTAAAGAGAAAAAAATAAAACTCTGACTATACATTATATTCTGTGAGTACAGGTAATTAAAATATTTGTTGTCTTTTCCTTGCTCCTGGTTACCCAAGTACAGAACTGAAGTAACTCTTGTTTTAAGTACTATCCCTATGTGTGTTCAGAATGTGATCCACAGCAACAGTTGAAGTAACAAGCATACTGCTCACCCCACTTTGGGGAGGATAAACTAATATTAAAACAATTTTTTGTGTCCTAGACCCAGTTTCTAGGAACCTTTCTGGTGGGCTGCAAAGAAGGTAACATTCCCAAACTTAAGTGAGCAGGATGCATCTCTGAAAGGTATGTGAAGTATCTGAGATCTTTTGCCTCTTTCAGAGAACAGTGGTTGTGCTGTGCAGTGACCACTCTGAAGATATCGCTATAGAAATGTATATTTCTTGTCACCACCCAAACTTAGTGTTTGAACTTTGTCTTTCTGCAAAAAGACAGTCCAAAACTAACACCCTTCCTTTGTCCATTAAAGTAAAAAGGGAAGTCAGGACTTCTTATAGAATCATAGAATGGTTTGGGTTGGAAGGGGACCCTAAAGATCATTTAGTTCTACCCCCTGCCATGAGCAGGGACTATAACAAAAGCTTAGAAGTAGTATCTGTGAAGAAAGTTAAGTCTTTTTAACATGGATGGGCATGACAAACCTAAAATGCTATTTGCCATTGCTTTCTTTCTGGGAAAAGCTTTATACATCAGGTATGTACTTCTAAGTTTTCTTTATATAGGGGTGGGGAATTCTTTATTTTATCCTACCACATACTAAGGAGTCTCAACAGAGCTAAAGCCATTTTGACTGATACTTTGCTATGTTGCCTTCATGTCATCTAAGCCCCAGGTCCTGGTTTTGCTTAGGATAGAATAATAGAATTAATTCTCAGTCAGAAAAGCTGCATTTTAAGAAGACTGCAGCACTCAATTTTGTGAGAACAAAGTTGATAAGATGCTTTTAGTTTGTGGCCAGTCATGGTATGCAGGTTTCCATAGTGATCAAGGTCTTCAGCAGTTTACAGTTAGCCAGGTGCTAAGGCTGAGAGGAGCAAAAGCCAGGGCAGTTGACCCAAGCTGGCCAACAGAAGTATTCCAACTACCATAAATGTCATGCTCAGTATAAATTGGAAAGTTTGCTAGGGATGACCCTCTTCCTCAATGGCTGTCATTCCTGGAGGGTTTTGCCTGTCTTTCTGTTCCCAAGGCCTATGCTCCTGCTTGTGATTATTGTGTTTGTGTCAGCTGAGTATAACTTGGTGTATTTTATATTAGCATTAATATTAGTTCTTATTATTTCATTAAATCTGTTTTCACTTTAACCCATGAGTTTCCTTTCCCTGAATTCCCCTGCCCAAGGGTGGGGAGGGGGCTTTGAGTGACAGAACAACTGCCTAAACTAAGACAGCTCACTACAGCAAGGGCGATCTTTCTTCTTTTGGCGATGACAAGTACTGTTCTGTCTTGGGGGAGGGGTGGGGGGGTGGGGGAAGAGCAATAGCATGTGAACATACCCAGCTCTTCTGTCCGAATTTTAAGTCTGTTTCTTCAAAGCCCAGGCAGCACACAGACACACAAACCTCTAGCACTGTGGATGCTGTTAGCTGCTGCTGCTGAGCCATGGTAGTGCTACCTAACTCTAGCTGTACCATGCAAATACAGAATGATGGCCCACTCTTTTGCCAGGAGAGAAACAAGCAATGTATCTGCACTGCAATCAGCAAAAGCTTTTTCTACCTCATTACTAGATAAAAATCAAGGCAAAAAAAGCTGATCATGTGTTATTGAAAATATGCTAAATTTAAGGTTTTCCTTCTGTTTCACAATGGAACGTGTCAACTCCAGTGCAACAAGGGTAGAAGAGGACCATGTACCTAAGTATTAATTTCCAAGAACACCATTAGTCTGATTTATTTTCTGATAAATATGCATATGGAGGAGAACTTCAGCATGAAGACATACAAAGAACCACTCTACATTTTACCGGATAGCAACTTCTAACACCACTTCCTTCTTGGCTTGTCTTCCAAAGAGAAGCTATCAGATCCTTGTCAGTTTTTATGACTACTTCTTATAGTCAGCATGTGGAGCATTTCAGAGTTCAGTGAAACCTAACAGGATGATAGGTGTTCTGAACAGGGCATGTGGGAGTAACTGACTAGCAGACATGGAGTAAAACACTTGCATGTGATTGTTAGGAGTCTCTTGTTCTTCTCTTTCCTGTGGCATAATGTATTTCTATGAACAGCAGAGCTGACTTTGAGATAAACATATCACTCAACTTTTCACAGAAATGACATGAATGAAACAGTTTCCTACACTTTTTACTCATAAAAATGGGTTTTATTCTCCTAATTCTTTTCTCCTGTGTTACTCATCACAGTCTGTTGTTAAGTAGTAATAGAACTCTTTAATTTGTGTGCAAATCTATGAAGAAAATTCAGATGGTGAAATCCCTTTTTACAGGAAGCATTTCTGGAGTTTTTAAATGAAGCAGATGGTCCCCTGAGATTTTTCTTGTTTATAAAGTAATATCTCTGAGCATAGTTGTACATTTTTTTCTCATTCTGCTTTTCTTAAAAACACTGAAAATTCATGGGACAGCTGGAAAAACAGAATCTTTGAGGAGGTTGTTCACAGCAACAAGGCAGAGCAAGCACTGGTATCCTGTGCTTCTCTGTAAGAACTGGGAATTGCCATTCATAGCATCTACATTCATTGCTCTACTGAATGGGACAGAAATGATGTCTCTCACAGCAAAAGGAATGCCATGGCCATCACAGAGAATCAGAGAAGGCATGTGCTTGTTTCAATAAATGTTAGGGAGTGGTTTGGTGTTTGAAGTAGAAAGAGGAAAAGGACCTTACTTGTTTTTTCTTGGAGGACTTTAGGGAGGAGCTTATGAAAATACACTTTTTACATTGCAAGAAAGGTGCAGCTACACTCTTTGCATTGTAACTTGCTAGGGAAGTTTAGAATAGTTCTGTCTGTGGCAGAGAAAACTTATCCAAATACCTGTTTGTTTTATTTTAGTTGTGTTTTTTTGTTTTACTCTGGGTTTGAACTGCTTCATTTCTTCAATAATGGTTTATAAATGTTCCATCATATAACTTACCGAGAGCCTTTGATGTGCTTATGAATGTATTCCGCGTGAGCTTGTGGAACCAAAGGGTCTTTCTCACCGTGAATTATAAATGTGGGACATTTAATATCTGGCAGCAACTGTTGGCAGATATTACCTAGGGAGAAAATAAATGAAGGTCACACTTTATTTTAAAATAGTATGAAAGCCTGAAACTGCTTCTGTAAATTACTGTGAACTCCACTGGGTTCTAGCTATTGCCTCTCCCCATGGATAGTGTGCAACTCATCTACAGAACTATGTAATCAGGACTTTAATTAACATTTCCTTCTCCCAAATGTTACTGCACTGCAATTTGCTTCATTAATGGCTACTAGCACAAACGGATGGAGCACATGAAGTACTTCTGTCTCACATTTCTCCCAGGCTCTCTTTGACTGTTCAAAGCAAACACACGTATCTCTTTCCTGGCTTTGTTCTTTTCAGCCTTCATCTTCTGCCCTTCACATTTATGCTACATTAGTTGTCAGGTTACAAGATTTGCTACTTTCATCAACAAGTTAACTTAGGTTGTACTCATGCCTGTTCCACCTTCCTGACCCTTTGCTGTCTGCAATGAATAACCATTTAATACAAATTGTACTGGAACTATTCAAAGGTTGTTCTCCCTGCCTATTCATCTTACAGAACCTCAAAAATAATTTCATGCTTACTAGTCTTTAATCTCACTAGAAATAATTTTAATGTTTTTTCCTTAAAGACTCTTCTACCTTCTCTCCCTTTCTTTTTCACTTATCCCTTAGTAAACCAGTTTCCAAACTTGTTGCCTAACTTCCCATGTCCTCGCAAGAGATTCTGTGGGCAAAACCTACTTGATGAGTTTTATGTTCCATCTGCCTTTGAACTGTCTTTGTCCTATTTGTAGTTGTCTCCTTGCAGCTACCAACAGCTGTACAGTTAGAACTC